TGCGTGGGTTTCCTCCCGGTGCTCCGGTTTCCTCCCACACTCCAAAGACATGCTGGGAGATAATTAGATCCTGTCTAAATTGTCCCTAGTATGTGTATGTATGAATGTAAGTTAGGGACCTTAGATTGTACACCCCTTGAAGGTTAGGGACTGATGTGAATGTACAATATATATGTAAAGCACTGCGTAAATTGATGGCGCTATAGAAGTATCTGGAATAAATAAAATAAATAAATCTCCCCCCCCCAGAACACACAGGTCAGCACTGCAGCCATGGGCCAAGAATGCTGATCAGATGCCAGTTTTCAAGCATGCCCGTTCAACAGAAGCCAGTTGTGAAAGTCGCCCGGTTTCTACTATACCAACTTTGGCCAACATTAGGCCCGTGTGTACCCAGCATAAGTGAGTGAGTCGGGCCAGGAGTAGAGACTCCCAGCTCCAGCCACAACAGGGAGGGGTATCATAAATAAATACATTGCCTTTTGGTATACCTAGGTACTACAGAGGGGGTTGTATATGACTGGTGGTCAAAGGAATGACACCCAATGGTTGTACTAAAAGGAAATACGGAGGATTGAGACCCGATCACGAAATATTCGTCTTGGGATTACTCTGTTGCCAATCAACTCTGTAAAAAAGCATGAACATGATGCAGAAAGGTTAGAACTGAACTTTTAATAAGTTACAGAAAACTTCTGCCCGGAGTTCAGCTTTAACTGAAAACAGGGGGGACCTGGGTTATGTTTATGTCAGTTCTAACAGACAGAAGGTTGTTCATACACATGTAAACGTCTGCATGATGTGTGCACTTACAGCTTCCCCAGAACAGGAAGTTTTAGAACGTTCAAGAATGGCTACATGTATTCTAACAGCATTGTGATTGTGCAACCTAGACGGCACGCATTATAAACAATCATTACTTTAGGCAATTTATACAAATAACTTATATCATAAAAGCTCTTAAAGGATAAGTTCACCTATTAGAACAAAAATAATAAATGCACATTGTTTTGCAGGTAAAAAAAAAAAAAATGTGCATTTATTATTGGAAAGCATTGCACCAGGGATCATTAGATCGCTGGTGCCATGCAGGTCTCCTGCACAACTGTCAGAATATCTGCCTGCCGCATGGGATGTACAAGCAGATATTCTGACAAGAAGCTCCAATGAACTACCACGCCGAGGCTGTCGGGACCTGCAGTTCGTCCATACACGGAAATCCGTGAATGAGTGACATGGCTGTGTGGGCGGAGTCACACTGCTTTCAAATTAAGACAGATAGTAAGGGGAGACTGTCAGAGGGAGGGTGGGGCCACGGGGGCGAAGCTGCGGCTATGGGAACATGTTACAGGTTCCACCCTAAAAACAGGTGGAACATGTAATATGTTCTCAAAGGTGAATGTATCCTTTAACACTCAACCCAAGCAGAACAATATTTTCACAATGAACAGGAAAGACAATAAACATAGTGGGGGCGATTCATGAAGAAATCTGTGACCCATTTCTGGAGGTGTGGATGTAGTCAGGAGCCTTGCGCCACATTCACGATAAATTCACACCGGTGCTTACAGGTGGTATTGGAGCATTTTACAGATGTATTCAGGACGGAGCGGTTTTAGTTTTAACCAATGGGAAGCTAGTTACTAGGAGGGGATGGTTGCTTAGGCTTGAAAATCGCAAAGTGGGAGATTTACTACAACAGGAGCACACAGAATCTGGAGCTACTCCACATAGTAACTAATCCGCTTCCAGGTTTTACTGTCAAAGCTTAATTACCCACTAGCCTACAGGGCACTTATACCCCCTTCCTGCCCAGGCCAATTGCTAGCTTTCAGCGCTGTCATACTTTGAATGACAATTGCGCAGTCATGCAACACTGTACCCACATTAAATTTTTATAATTTTATTGTGACAGATAGAGATTTATTTTGGTGGTATTTAATCACGTCTGGGTTTTTTTTATTTTTTCTTAAACCAAAAACGTTTTTCTTTTCTTAGTTTTTGTTATAAAATTTTGTAAATAAGTGATTTTTCTCCTTCACTGATATACGCTAATGAGGCTGCAGTGGTGGGCACTGATGAGGAGGCACTGGTAGGTGGCACGGATGGGCATTGACAGGCATCACTGATTGGCACTGAAAGGCAGCACTGATACATGGCACTGATATATGGCACCGATAGGCAGCACTGATTGGCAGCTCAGATGGGCACTGCTATGTAGCATTGATGTGCACTGGTAGGCACTGATATGTGGCATTGATGGGCACTGGCACGAGGCACTGATGAGTACTGATGGACACTGACAGGTGGCACTGCTGGGGCCACACTGATCATCATGGCACACTGATCATTAGTGCCCTGATGATCAGTGTACATGTCCCCTCCGTGGAAAGCCAATTACCGGCTCTCCTCTCCCCTCGAGCTGTCAGCATGACAGCTCGAGAGGAGAGAAATACTGATAACCGGCATTTCCCTGCTTACATGTGATCAGCTGTGATTGGACGCCTGTAATGAGGTTAAATGGTATTAACGCTCCTGCAAATGCCTCGCAACCGCATCGCAAACGCCTGCCAGGTGTTTGAGGAGCGGCACCATAAACCTGAATGGGAGGCTTCAACTCCTCCAGACTTGACACGAGGCATCAGTTTTGCCGCGACGCTAACGCTTCAGTGTGAACAGCACTCTGTGCTGCCATGTGCAGAATTTTCATAGGCGTTTGAGAAGTGTTAAAAATGCTTCCCAAACGCCTGTCTGACGCCTGCTAACAAAGCTAGTGTGAACGTAGCCTTATTGTTGTGACAAATTCTTGAAGAAATACCGCCTGATTGGTGAAACAGAAGGACGTAAATAAGACCTGTTCCACAGGGGGAGTAAATTATGCCGCACGTGTAAGCATTGTCATATCAGTGGGACAATATATACCCCTTACCCACACATACATGACTGTCGCTAGTTGTGTCATTGGTCGCACTACCGCACAATGAATTTCTAATGAGCATCTACAACACTATGAATTTCACAGACTGGCACAGAGATGGGAATCTTCACCTGTATCTAGGACATCAGACCTGATAAATGCATGGTAAGCAAAGTCTGTGTTGGATACAAAGCATCCTGGGATCAGTGCGAACAACACAAAAACCTGAAGCCTGACAGCTCAGACGGAATGCAGAGTATGAGGAACAATTACATCCAAAGGAAAATGTCACAGATTTGCCCTACATAGCTCTGCACTTCCCAAAAAGACCCACCAGACTGTCCTCCCCCAGCAGCATTTTAATATTTACAGAAAAAGAGACGTGCATAAAACTGGTGAGAAAACCCCCCATAAAAAGCAACTGACGCAATTCAAGACCTGCTGCAGCGTTTGCCCTGTACAGGCGTACTGATAGAAGGAATTCTGATGATTGGAGGTAATCTGTACAGAACAAAAAAAAAAAAAACACTTTAAAACAAGCTGCAGGACTGGTTCACACCTATGCTTTTTTTTTTTGTGCTTTTTACAGAAACGCACTACAGTCCATTTAACATGATTTCCTATGGATCTACGTCACATCTGTGCGTTTTGAGACGGTGAGTTTTTTTGGAAAGGGTGGGGGACTTTTTCCTGCAGCAAATTGCGTTTTGCATGTAATAAACTTCAATGGATCTACACCAAAAACACAAGCGTTGCGGTTTTTTTTTTATGCATTTGGAGTTTTGGTTTTTTTGTAATGCTCATAGGAAAGTGTTGACTTGATGTGACTTTGGATGGATGCAACTTGGATAGGTGACTTTGATGCAACTTTTTTTTTTTTTTTTACACTCTCTCGCAATCCATGGATGAACTAGGCTGTTATACTTTCCTATTAGCAAAAAAAAAAGTCACATCAAAGTTGCACCCATTAAAAGTCACAAAGTCAATCATTTCCTAAGGGAAAAAAAAAAAAACAAAACACAAAAGGCATCAAAAACGCGTGTTCAAAAACACACTGTGAAATCACACAATCTGCACAGATGTGAACCTAGCGTCTAAAGCAATCTCTTCCTGTTATATGAATAAACGTGCAGCGCTAATTAATAAATCTAAAATTGTTCACTGTAAGTCCAGTTCATATAAATGTGCCAGGTGACAGATGAAAATCCACAATGGTGATCCGTGAGGAAGTAGCAGAAATGCGCACTCACCAGAAGGCGGATATATATAAGCAGTATATATCAAAAGCTCATGGATCCTCGGTCAAGAAGAGATAGATCTGGTCACTGTGGGTTGGCCTTTCCTTTCTTCAAGGGTGCAGAGCAAAATTCTTCCTCCTCTCAGGTGGGTGCTTGAATTCCTAATAAGGACTCTGCAAAGAGGTACTCCTCCAAGGGAGTCAGGAAAGGACACCCATAGTGTAGTATGTTTAAAACAGCTTTATTAAAGACAGTGATGAATTGGCATCACTGCAAGTGTCATCCAGATGCTATGATAAAACTAACCCTAATAGTTAGAATGATGGCCGCCGGGCCTCCACGTTTTCCGGCGCCGTAGCGTATCAATGTCCAGGCTCCTCCTTACGCGTTACATGCGCACATCTTCAGAGGTATGGAACCAATCATTGGCACATTTATATGAACTGGACTTACAGCGGACAATTTTAGATTTATTAATTAGCGCTGCACTTTTATTCATATTATTCTGTATAAGTATTTATTGGTTACTTAGAGTGCTTAGCTGCTTCTTAGGATCAGCGCTCACTTTTTTCATCTTCCTGTTATATACAGAAGAGAAATCAAAACTATAAAAGTGAATACGCCATATCCACGTGTTGGCCAACCAGGAAGACGATCAAGCGATCCACACTATGCGAGGCAGGGAGACGTCTTACCACCAGGGCAGACTGACAGCTCATGGGGCCCCAGGCAATGAAGATCATGGGCCCCTGTGTCTTTGCCAAAACTCAAAAAAAACCTATGAAAAAGGTACCAGGGGCATCTCATGGGGCCCCCTACTGACCCTGGGCCCACGGGCAGTGCCCGAGTTTCCAAATGGTCAGTCCGCCCCTGCTTACCACCCATCCACTGTATGCATCTATGGCTAAACCAAACTAGGAAGAAAACATTTCACAGGCTATCCCACCTTTACTAAAATACTAGGTTACCAATTTACAAAAACTAAAACAAACGATTCTATTTCAGCCAATACTCCATTGTTCTGGGTATCCCGTAATCTTCCACTGGTGTAAACAAATCACTGTATCTTATACTGTGAACCTGACAAAGTGTCCAGAGGTCAAGTCACATGACTGAACCCCCATTCATACCCGAGTGCCCTAAAAGGGTGACAAAACTCAAGATGAAGGATCCTATCATCCTCAACGGGTCCGATCACACCCAAGCATTGTGTCATCTGTTGCGTAAAGCTTGAAAAAGTACACGAGCTTCTTTGGGGTAGAATCTTGCATTTTTTGCCCCCATAGACCATAAAAGACTAAGTTCACCTTTTAAAAAAAAAAAAAAAAAAAAAAAAAAAAAAAATAAATGCACATATTTTTTGCAGGTGAAAAATGTGCATTTATTACATTTTTTTCTGGAGCCTGCAAAACTGCAATGTCAGGCTCCTGCAGAGTCTCGGTATACCTGTAGCTGTCTGCCTGTACCTCTCATATAAACAGTAACCCCTGGTTCACATAAATGCGGCCGTGCCACGCAGGGAAGAAGTCCCTGCACTTCTTCTAAAAACGCAGCCCACATGGGAACCTCGGCTCCCAGTACGGTTGTGTTTTTCAGTGCGGGTGGCGTGCCATTAGAACTAATGGCACCCACCCGCGGGTCCGCATTCCTCTGTGTGGGTGGTGTGGCTGCACGGATTTTCATGCGGATCCGCAGTGGCACCACCTGCACATATGTGAACCAAGCCTTACTGGAGACCGGGAAGATCAATGACCTATGAGCACCCTCGCAGGTCACTGAGAACTACAAGCCGTCTGCTGCAGAGGTAGACCGTACTTGTTCATTCATTTACAGATTGCTGTGAATGAATGATGCAGCTGTGTGGGCGGAGCCCTACATGGCTGTGCTCTTTTTAAATTGTGACAGTGGGTGAGGGGAGAGGATCTCCACCCGTGGTCCCAGTGGGGGTCTGGAGGGAACACAGGCAGGTGTCTTTAGCAATATGTTACATCCAAAATGTGGGTGTAACATGTTTCCAAAGGTGAACTTATCCTTTACTGAGAATGCTTGAAAAATGTGCGTTTATGCACTGTTTTCAGATGCTCCCATTTAAAAATCTATGGGGTCAAAAATGCACTTATCTGCCCCTGTACTACAATTCATGCAAAAAAAAAAAAAAAATTGTAATTATTTGAATCTCACACCATTAGTGAGCTGCAGCAACAGCTAATTTTCGTACGGCCATCAAATTTGACCGATCGGGCATGTTGGACATTTTTTGAAAAATGAACGAATTTGCAATCAATCATGGGAAAAGCCTGCGAGAAATATAAATCTAAAAGAGGAATGCACATGAGCTCTGATCTGGGAAAAAAAAAATTATATATATATATATATATATATATATATATAATATATATATATTTTCCCAGCCACAAAATCTCTTTTCTGTAGCAACATGTGGTGAAATCGAAGGCTTGGTTGGTCGAATTTCAAAATCAATGGTGGCATGACTGGACTAAAAAAACACACCACGTTTCTAATTTTTGATCAACAAATCGTTTAGCATTCGACCCATGTATGACCCACATTAGACTACATTCACACGGGACTGGCGCAGGTGCAAATGACAGCAGCAGTGGCAATCTACAGATTCTTGACGCTGTTTCTTCCACCTGGAAGCAGCACAAGTAATCACTTGCTCTGCAGACAGCCACAGATAGCGGAGGCTGCCGCCAACCTGTCAATTAAATGTTCATGGCTCAGCGGCCACAGCTAGCCATTCACAGGTAGAAAAAAAAACAGCTACAGGAATCAGTAGATTCACACCAGTGCTAGTCTCTGAAATTGCCTGGCTACACTCATACCAAGTGTAAATAGGGACTTAGAGGGCTTCTTTTTTCTTTACACATTACATATACAAATGTGTGCACAGCTATGTAAATATCAGGACTACCTTATAGATGGTATAATATATATACTGTAGTGTGTGTAACCAACACAGGTTTTTCAATGGAGAACATAACCAAATAAGAGAAGCAGTCTTGGTTCAACAGACACATCACACAAAAACAGGTCATTAACACTGATTTTACTATGGATTGATCTCTCACCATGTAGAAAAATACATTTTTGTATATAGAAAAGAATAAACTATATACACTGTATACAGTATGTGTGTATAAACATGGAAAAGTGACAGCAGAAAAAGATCAAGTGGTCCATGGAGTCTGACCATTTTTGGGGGGGGTTGTTTTTTGCTTTGTATTTTTTTGTTTTGTCTGAGTATAGATCTATGCTTGTCCCAGGCATGTTTGAAGCTATTTACTGTTGACTGGCTCACTACCTCTCCTGGAAGTTTATTCCAAGCATCAACTACTCTTTCAGTAAAATCCTTTCTGAGATTAGTTTTGAACTTTCCTCCAGTTAGCGTAAGGCCATGTCCCCGTGTTCTTGATTTTGGTTTCATGGTGAAAATACTGCCCTCCTGAACCTTATTCATCCCTTTGATGTATTTAAAGGTTTCAGTCATGTCTCCCCTTTCCCTTCTTTCCTCTAGACCAGTGGTCTCCAAACTGTGGTACGGATGTGGCCCTTTGCTGGCCTTTATCCAGCCTTGGGACACTATTCCTCCCAATAATATGAAAGCAGTATTCCCTCGTACTGACACCAACAAGGGGCACTATTTCCTCCACTGATAACACTTCCATGGTACTATTCCTCCCATTAATACCAATGATGGGGCACTACTCTTCCTCCTACTGACCACCATCTCCGAGGCCATATTTATTCTCACTGATGCAGCGCCCTGAAACATTTTCTACCCCCACTGGGCACACTCTGTCCCTCTTAAAGTCTGAAGGACCATAAACCGGCCCTTTGTTTGAAAAGTCTAGAGACCGCTGCTCTAGACCGTACACGTTAGGTTCGTAAAGCAGCTCTTGATACGATTTATCCCCCAGACCTTTCACCATTTTTATTACCCGTCTCTGGATTTGTTCTTATTGATAAATATCTTTTTATAAGTGAGGTCTCCAGAACTGGACACAGTATTCTAAATGAGGTCTAACTAAAGATATATATACAGTTGCAAGAAAAAGTATGTGAACCCCTTGGGATTACGTGGAGTTTTGCATGAATTGGGCATAAAATGTGCTCTGAACGTCATCTAAGTCACAACAATAGAAGAACACAGTCTGCTGAACATAATACTACACCAAACATTAGATGTTGCCATGGTTTAATTGCACATAACATGTAAACATTCACAGTGCAGGGAGGAAAAAGTATGTGAGTCCCTAGCTTAATGACTTCTCCCAGAGCTAATTGGAGCCAGGAGTGAGCCAACCTTGACTCCAATCAGTGTGATGATATTGGATGTGTTGCTGACAGCTGTCCTGCCCTTAAAAAACACACACCTGTTTTGGGTTTACTGGTTTCAAGAAGCACTGTCTGATATGAACCATGCCTCGCAGAAAAGAGCTCTCAGAAGAACAATGATCAAGAATTGTTGACTTGCATGAAGCTGGAAAGGGTTACAAAAGTATCTCCAAAAGCCTGATGTTCATGTGTCCACGGTAAGACAGACTGTCTACAAATGGAGAAAGTTTAGCACTGTTGCTACTCTCCCTAGGCGTGGTCGTCCTGTAAAAATGACTGCAAGAGCACAGCGCAGAATGCTGCATGAGGTAAAGAAGAATCTCCAGAGTGTCAGCTAAAGACCTACAGAAATCTCTGGCACATGCTAACATTTTTGTTGACACATCTACAATAAGGAAAACATTAAACAAGAATGGAGTACATGGGAGGACACCACGGAGGAAGCCATTGCTGTCCAAAAAGAATATTGTAGCACGTTTGAAGTTTGCAAAAGAGCACCTGGATGTTCCACAGCACTACTGGCAAAATATACTTTGGACAGATGAAACCAAGATTGAGTTGTTTGGGAAGAACACACAACACTATGTGAGGAGAAAAAAAGGCCAGCACACCAACATCAAAAACCTCATCCCCACTGTGAAACATGGCGGAGGGAGCATCATGGTTTGGGGCTGCTTTGCTTCCTCAGGGCTGGACGGATTGTTGTCATTGATGGGAAAATGAATTCCAGAGTTTATCAAGACATTTTGCAGGAAAACGTACGACCATCTGTCCGCCAACTGAAGCTCCGCAGAGGATGGGTGATTGCAACAGGACAATGACCCAAAGCATACAAGTCATTCAACAAAACAATGGCTGCAACAGCACAGAATGAACGCCTTCTGGAGTGGCCCAGTCAAAGTCCTGACCTCAACCCGATTGAAATGCTGTGGCATGACCTTAAGAGAGCGATTCACACCAGACATCCCAAGAATATTCTACACTGAAACAATTTTGTGAAGAGGAGTGGTCCAAAATGACTCCAGATCGTTGTGCAGGTCTGATCTGCAACTACAGGAAACGTTTGGTTGAGGTTATTCCTGCCAAAGGAGGGTCAATCAGTTATTAAATCAAAGGTTCACATACTTTTTCCTCCCTGCACTGTGAATGTTTACATGTTATGTGCAATTAATAAACCATGGCAACTCTAATGTTTGTGTAGTATTATGTTCAGCAGACTGTGTTCTTCTATTGTTGTGACTTAGATGACGTTCAGACATTTTTATGCCCAATTCATGCAAAACTCACTGTCCACTCTTAATCCCAAGGGGTTCACATACTTTTTCTTGCAAAAACTGTATATAGGGGAATCAGGACCTCCCTTCTGCTGGTGACCCTCTAGTTAGATATAAAGAGCTCTATATAGAGAAATCGGGACCTTTCCTACCCTCCTGCTGGTGACCCCTCTAGTGATATATAAAGATCTCTATAGAGGAAATCGGGACCTCCTCCCTCCTGCTGGTGACCCCTCTAGTGATATAATGATCTATATAGGGGAATCGGGACCTCCTTCCTCCTGCTGGTGACCCCTCTAATGATATAAAGATCTATATAGGGGAATCGGGACCTCCTCCCTCCTGCCGATGACCCCTCTAGTGATAAAAGATCTATATAGAGGAAATCGGGACCTCCTCCCTCCTGCTGGTGACCCCTCTAGTGATATAAAGATCTATATAGGGGAAATCGGGACCTCCTTCCTCCTCCTGGTGACCCCTCTAGTGATATAAAGATCTATATAGGGGAATCGGGACCTCCTTCCTCCTGCCGGTGACCCCTCTAGTGATGTATCCTACAATTCTATTTGCTTTCCCCACTGCCTGGCCACACTGTTGCTCATTTTGCAATCATCTGAAATAAGAACCCCCAAGTCCTTTTTCCTCTCAAGTGCTGGCCAACAATGTACCCCCAATGTTGATTTTTTTTTTCCCTAGGTTATTATTTTACATTTATAAACATTGAACTGCAATTTCCACAATCTTCCAGCAATGCCAAATCATGTTCCATGTTACAGACACCTCCCGGGATATCAACCCTATTACACACCTTTGTGTCATCAGCAAAAAGACAAACCTTACCCAACAAACCTTTAGTTATATCACTTACATATAGATTGAATAGAACAGGACATTGGGGTACACCACTAGTGACTGATCTCTGGTCCGAGTGAATCCCATTTACAACCACACTCTAGTATCTATCCTGTAGCCAGCTGCATATCCACTGAACCACCCAAGGGCTACGTCCTAGCTTGTACAACTTTTGTAGTAGATCATTATGTGGAACTGTATCACATGCCTTGCTGAAATCAAGATATGTTGTGTCCATATATAT